TATCCATATAAGCATTGCCTGTAAAGCTTTTATAAAAAGAAACACATATTCTCTGTAGACTCTTGGTGTTAAAAACGAAGAGGCTATTCTTCTGGGGAATATTAATTGAGAAGACCTTCTGTGTGTAAGCCTGTATTTGTATTCCATCCTCTTTAAATAGTACAGAAAGTTTGCACCAGTTTCTCTATTAACTTTTCATTTTTAAAGCAATAATAACCTGATATACCTAAAACATTATTGTTTCTTTTTTTTTCTTTTTCTCCCCAAAAGGTTTCCTGATTTACTTTGCTTATGGCATTAGACACAGTCTAGAGGGAAACCCAAGGAAAGAAGATGACGATGATGCTTATTCAGGCAACATTAATGCAGCAATAGAAGAAAAAGCCGCCATACAAGCAAATGAGCATCACCAAAGAAACCTCAATCTACCATTCCTAGTCCATGAAAAGATTAGTGAGTGCTAATGCTTATCTGAGCAGAGCTGGCCCACCATGTTAACCTACATATCCTACACAGAGTAAACCATGACAGGATGCCACCAGTATGCTATGTTATCATGAGTATGCTATGGACATAGCTCACCTTAGTTTATACTCAGTCTTCGGGACAGCCCCTCTTCATGTGGTGTGCCTGGGGTCACATTCACCTGAGCTTTCTCCTCAGTGATGAATATCTCCCCCAACAGTGTGAGTGTGGATGTGTGAATGTGTATATTGGGGAATGTGAAGGTTGAAATTTGTTGATGTTCTCCTGTTATTGCATTGCATTTTTCCAGTGTTGTCATTAATTGGTGTCATTTATGCACATACTGAAATGGAGGTAAATTATGGAATAGAAAGGTGTTTTGTGTATGTCCTTATTTAGAACATGCTTAAAATGTAATGATTCATCATGGTGTATGTCACAGGTAAGAGGGAGTGGATAAAGAAAGAGCCGTTTCTAGAAGTTGTACATGCCAGCAGTGGGTTTAGTTCAGGTTTGGATTTGTAAAACGTTAGCCTGTAAAGGTGTTTGTGTGTGCTGTACCACACAGCACAGGAGTGGCATTCCAAGTCACCAGATGGCACTTCTGTGAGCTCCTGTCTTTGAGAACTGTGGTTCAAATAGGAAGTCTTCACCAGCTATGGATAATGTTGCCCCTCTACTCAATCAGGGACCAGAGGGAATAGTGTGCTCTGCTTGGGGCCCTTCATGCTAGAAACTGAAGGTGATCTTACAGCCAGAAAGCTCATGTGAGATCAAAGTGTTAGACATATGCTTGGACAACTAGATCCCAAACATCCTTGCTATAAAAGTCACTTAAAATAAAGCCAGTAGAGTCTCCCACATCACATAATTGGTAGAATGATTCATACTAGTTTCTATCATTTAATAACTAGTCACACTTCCATTTTTCTAACCTCTTCAGGCGCAAAAATCACTCCTTTTAAAATTTTGTTTTGCTTTAGACATGTTGGGCTACAATCACAAATTTTATCCTTAAAATATGAAAAAGAGGGAAAAAAAATTGAAGGGCTACAAGAAGATAAAATCTCCCTATTGTGATAATAAAGTATTTATCCAGATATTAAAGGGCATTTGGCCCAATGTAAGGGATTCATATCTAGTTTGCCTTTAATGCTTCTTTTGAAAACATTTAGGAATGTTCCCCCTTGAAATATATTAGTTAACACTTTTGATTTCTTTGGTTTTCAAGTGACTGTGTTAAAGCTATTAAAAAAATACAGACATGTAGACACCAGTATTCTATAACAGCCCATCAGTGGTTAGGGGGAAAATGTTTTGGTTAAATCCATGATAATTTTAAACATCAATGTAAAAAAATAATCAAACTGAATTAAAACTAGAAGCAGTGCCTTTTATATGTAGGATTCTGTAATTGCTTTATTTTACTTTATAGGGGTCTCTAATAGTGAACTATTTAGCTACAGTGTATTTTGTTTCTCATAAAATATTTTTCTTACAAATAATTAGATGGTTCACTAAATGAGGCGAGAGGCTAGAGATTTATTTGTGGGTTACATTCCCAGGATACTTGTGGTGAAGGTTACCACATGTGCCAATTGACTAGAATTCATCCAAAGACAAGGAAAACATTCTTTTTCTTTTTTGCCTGATGGCTCTTCTAAAAGGTCCGTTATATCAGTACTATTAAGAAACAAGTTGTAGTTGATTTGTTAAACCAAGAATTCGTTGAGAGCAAATATCAAATAAATAGGCCGAAAGCTTATGTTTCTGGCTCCTATCCTGTAGCATCCCTAACACAGAAATTAGTACTGAAATTCCACAATTCCCAGGGTGCATGTGGTCATATCTGAAGCTTAAAATTGTCTTTCAAGCTGGAGAGGAGTCAGATAAGCAAGTGATGAAATGTTTTTGTAACGACTGTAGGCATAGTCATAAATCCTCCCTGTTGCAGTATACTGAGAACCCCATTTTATTCTACAGTAAATCTAAAATATCCCTTCACACAAGGAGCATGAGGAATTTGATGTATGGATATTAAACTCTTAATATAACAAAGAGGACATCCTGGTGTGGCTCTGCTCTGTGGGCTAATGCATCAGACTGCAAAGTCCTTTGAACTGTAAGGTCGGTGGTTAAAGCTTACCAGCTGCTCCTTGGAAACCCTATACAGGGTTGCTATAGGTCGGAATTGACTGAACGGCCCTTAACAATAACAACGTAACAGAAAGGAGCCCTGATAGTATAGTGGCTTATGAGTTGGACTGTTAAACCACAGGTCAGCAGTTCAAATCTACCAAGCTGCTCCATGGGAGAAAGGTGAGGCTTTCTGCGCCTGTAAAGATTTACAGCCTCAGAAACCCTATACAAGGTCAATATGAGTCAGAATCTACTCCACAGCGCACCACCACCACTTCAACAAAGTCAAGACATTTGTTCAAAACATGATAGGCAGCTAAAGCCATTGAGGCCCGTTCAGTTAGGAGAATGTAGTTAAAAATTATTTTGCCACAGTGAAACACTTTACAAACACAAATATCTAGGATAAGATACTTTGCTTTCTTTCTTCCCCCGTGAAGACTCAAATAGATGTGTGTGTTTGTATGAGTATGTAGACACCATTACTTGCGTATGTGTGGGTGTGTATATATATATATACATGTATTTAAATGTCAGTGTATAAGTAAGTTGGGTCTGTCTGTGATGGGCTTTGGAAATAGATGTTTTTATGTGGATTAAAAACCCAACCAATGTGGAGAAAAATTAATGTTTTATATTGATAGGTATACCTATGTAAAAATTTTAGGTTTTAAACTATTTTGAGATATACAACAATTTTATATGTATAATATTTTCTATAGATAGATTCTTTAAGACAGAGATATTTATAATGTTTCAAATATGAAATTATTAAACTCTAGGACATTTTAACAGGTGCTTTATCGTCTGAAATGGAGTAGGGGTAGAGGGCCTTAGAGTATTTCTAATTACTTGTTCCTGCTGCACCTCTTCTGACAAACTGTCTTATATGTGTTTATTAGTAAAAGCCAGTACTATCAACTCTTTGACCATCTCTTTTCGTATATTGAATTCATAACCTTTTTGAATGAAATGTTTTCACTTAGGATTATCAAAAGGTTTTATATATATTTTACCAGTAATCAATCAAGCTTATATAAAATCCTCTTCAGAAGTTAAAAAAAATACACATCCTCTTAATTGTTTTTGAGTAAAAACAGCTCAAAATTTATCTTTCATATTAGGAAATATGCTTCCTTAGCATTTTTAGTGAGAAACTTCTTAAAACATCACCTTTGCTTTTGTTGAGAACAAAGAGAGAGAACGATTTATGATGTACCCCATAAAGACAGAGCCAATGCTAGATTTAGAAAGGTATCTATGCAAATTCAAGTTTTAAAGTTAAACTATAAGCTTTGATACATACCAAATTATAGGTTATTGCTTAATCACTTTTCCTACAGAGATAAACATCAAGCAAATAAAGTCCCAAACATTTCCGATATATACATTAAGGAAAAACTCGTATTGATATATGTGGAGACTTCAAAAAGTTCATGGAAAAGTGAAATTGAAAGATAATGGACTTTTCCCGCAGATTTGTAAAGCCCCCTTGTATAAAATTTCACTGTTACCATACCTAGTGCCATATAGTCGAGTCCGACTCACAATGACCCTATAGGACAGGGAACTGTCCCATAAGGTTTTCAAGTCCTTGGTGTTTGTGAGTAGTTAATATTTTTGAAATAAAGCATTTTGAATTAGATTCCCTGTTTTACCAGATTGTTTTCTCAATTTGTTTGAATGCTAGGAAAGGAGAAGGAGGAAAGGTAATCTTTCTGCGATGCTGATGACAGAAGGAGTTCGCTTAGTTTTATCTTCTTTCCTCTTAAGTCAGGAAATGCTAGTTCGGTAATATTCAGAGATTAAAACCAGATGATACAGCTGTGTCAAGATTCCAACTCTCTCTCCCTGTGGGAGTCTAATTTTCTCCTGATAAGCCTCAAGTGATTTCACACCAAGAAGTACAATTTCCACCGAACATTAAGTGGTTGGATTTAGACTGTATATCATAGGTGTTTTTAAATTTACATGATTAGTGTTTATATATATATATGGTTTTTTTTTAGCCAAATCAACTTTTCTTTATGCTAGTGTCAAAACAGAGCCTTCCCTTTTTAGAACTTTGTGAAGTTCTCTAACAGGCCTTTAAGTATCAAGGGGGAAAGTACTGAAATTGGTATGCCATCAGAGGTCATATTTTTAAGTCATGTAAATATGAAACTAAGGTTGCTTGATGTTTTTAGCTCAGATTGTTGTTTTCCCTTGCATAATCAATCATACTTAAACATTGAAAAGTGACTTTATGATTTCTGGACTCAGTTGGTTTAGTTGTGGTTTTTGTTTTGTTTTGTTTTGTTTTTTAATATTCATTATTGTTTATATGTACACAGTTTAGTCTTATTGGTTAACAGTGTTGCTATGGCTTAATCCCATTGGCAACCCAATTTCCTGGGTGGATTATATTTAGCTTTTCTTTACCATGACAAAAAGCCACTGTCAGAACCTGGGGGCCTTGAAGAACCTTCCTAATGACAGCCCCTGGGAGTCAGCACCAGGATTCCATCCAGCACGTTCCAGGGCCATGTGGTCTGCAAAGTTGGAACATCCATAGCTATACCTATTGGGTGGGATCTTAGGATAAAGGGGAAAGATACGAAGTCAAAGATTTCAAGTGGAAGTCAGGTAGTTGGGCTCCTTAGTTTCATTTCTGAATCGCAGGAGGACATCAAGGTGAAGGAATAGGAGTAAGGAACCTCCCTGATTCACGTAAGGAGTGACCACTTCCTGGAACTGGTACTGTAGGGGCCCACCTTGCTGCAATCCTGCAAACACACGACTGACCTCAGGGTACAAGTGCATGGCCTACACTCAACTGACCTTGTACTGCTAATGGGGTGGGTTTTGTTGAACCAGGCTCTTCATCTTTTAGTGTCCTCTA